AACTGATAACGGCCGACAGTTTGACAATGCACAATTCAAGGATTTCTGTTCCAACCTAGGGGTTAACCACCGCTTGACATCAGTCTCTCATCCCCAAAGTAATGGTCTAGCCGAGGTCATCAATCAGATTATATTACAAGACCTCCGAACAAGGATTGGAGATGCAAGAGGTTTCTGGTCCAACGAGTTGCCTTCCATACTTTGGACATATAGAACGTCCCATAGAACTGCCACCGGGGAGACCCCCTTCATGTTAGCTTTCGAAATTGAAGCCACCATTCCCATTGAAATCAGGTTACCAAGCTAAAGAAGACTTGATACCGAAGAAGCAGGGTACATCACTGAACATCTCGACCTCTTGGAAGAAGTTCGTGATCAAGCAGCCTTAAGAATGGCCTCTTATCAAGACAAAACAACAAAGTATTTCAATAAAAAGGTGAGGTCGAGAAGATTCAGAGTTGGAGATTTAGTGTTGAGAAGAGCAGAAACCGCTGGTCATGCTCCAGGAAAACTCGGACCAATTTGGGAAGGGCCCTTTAAAGTCATACGACAGCTCCCATGTGGTGCATACAGTTTAAAGGATACTTCGGGATGACCACTCCCAAGTCCTGGAACGCTAAAAGCTTAAAGGTATATCACAAGTAACTCGCTCCACCATGTTTTAGATATAAAGCCTACATGCCAAGTCAGTTTTTTATCATTAATTAGGCCTATGTGCCAAGTCAGTTCTTTATCATTCATAAGGCCTACGTGCCAAGTCTATTTTCAAAATATACTATGAATAAAGCTAATTCTCAAGATATGATCACTACACCAAAAAGCCTTGCCCTGCGGAAGCACCAAAAAGTTTTACCCTGAGCAAGCATCTCAAAGCTTTGCCCCGCACAAGCACCTCAAAACCTTACCCCGAGCAAGCACCTCAAAGCCTTGCCCGAGCAAGCACCAAAAAGTCTTGCCCCGAGTAAGCACCTATGAGGTAAAAAAAATCGGTCACCTAACATCTTGAGGTCGGGATTTGTCACTTTCATCAAAGTTGACATATGGTCGAGCTCAAAATACATCTCGTCATCGGGATATTAACTATCTTAGACATCGAGATACAAACTTCATCTTTGGAGTCGAGAAGTTTAAAAATGCGCCTTGTCGTCGGGATATTAAACTATCTTAGACGTCAAGATTAAAACTTTCATCTTTGACGTTAGGTTAAAAATACATCTTGTCGTCAGGATATTAACTATCTTAGACGTCGAGATTAAAACTTCATCTTTGGCGTCAGGGTTAAAAATGAGCCTTGTCGTCAGGATATTAAACTATCTTAGACGTTGAGATTAAGATTTTCATCTTTGGCGTCAGGTTAAAAATACATCTTGTAGTCGGGAAATTAAACTATCTTAGACATCGAGATTAAAACTTTCATCTTTGGCGTCAAGTTAAAAATACATCTTGTCGTCGGGATATTAACTATCTTAGACGTCGAGATTAAAACTTCATCTTTTGCATTAGGGTTAAAAATGCGCCATGTCGTCAGGATATTAAACTATCTTAGACGTCAAGATTAAACTTTCATCTTTGGCGTCAAGTTAAAAATACATCTTGTCGTTGGGATATTAAACTATCTTAGATGTTGAGATTAAAACTTTCATCTTCGGTGTTAAGGTCAAAATGCGCCTTGTCATCGGGATATTAAACCATCTTAGACGTCAAGATTACATCTTTCATCTTTCGCGTCAGGTTAAAAATACATCTTGTCGTCAGGATATTAAATTATCTTAGACGTCGAAATTAAAACTTTCATCTTCGGCATCATGGTCAAAGTGCATCTTATCATCGGGATATTGAACTATCTTACACGTCGAGAAGGTTAAACTATCTTGATTGTTGAGATTATTAACTAGTACTAGTCCTCGACATTATCAATACCAGAAAAACACGTCGATAACATAAAAATATATTTATAGAGATTGGGCAAAACACTTGAATTTACAAAATTAGATGACAAAAGTTCAGAAAGTATGCTCGAGAAATCTAGTCGTCGTCAACTTCTTTTGTCTCGCCTTCCTCGGCATCCTCACCATCAATATCGACCTCACCCTCCTCAGCAATTTCCTCAGACTCCGAAAGAGCGAGATCATCAACCACCTGAGGGATGGCTTTCAAGTCCTTAGGCTTCACATCAGTCCTCGAGCGGATGAAAGCTCGAGCCTCTTTTAGGGCATGGAAGTATCAGCCCATCGCATACTTCCCCTTCAGATCATTGAAAACCTCGGACTTTTTAAAATCCTCAACTGCCTTGTCCCGGGCATCCACCAACTTGCCCTCAATCTCTCTCTGAACACGCTCAAGCTTGAGCTCGAGCTCCACAGCCTCATCTTTTACAGCCCCGACATCATCTCAAGCTTTCAGTAGCTCGTTCTTCATATCCTCGTGCTCCTTCAGGAGCCGAGCGTGGTCAGCCTCGAGATCGACAATCCTTTTATCTCGAAGAGCCACCTCACCCTCGAGATCAGCCACCTTCTGGGACTCATCTTTACCTTTCAACGCCAAACCTCGGGCGATGCTCAATGTCTGGGAACAATGGAAAGAACATGATCAGACCTCGGGTATTTAAAAAAAAAAAGGGAAAAGGTCAATGGAAGAGTTATCTTTAACGCCATGGCCTCAAGGGACCTCAAGCCTTCATCGGGACCAATGTCTCCTCGATACTTCGCAACAATGCTCGGTACCTATTGACCTCGAGCCTCATCATCTACAGGAGCAGAACTTGGTGGCATCTCCTCGTCCTCGAGGTCAACCACTTCAACACTCTCCTGAGGATGAAGAAATCCTTGAGGCGTCCCCTGAGGAGTCGAGTGCTCCACAGTAACCCTCACAGTACCTGGGGACGACCCACCAGGGCTCAAGGAGTGGCGCTCAAACTTAGAGTCCTGAGGTCTCTTTTGGCCTCTTTTTTGTCCTGGAGCATGAGCCTGAGAAGTCTTTGATTTCTTGTTAACGGCTTGATGAAGAGCAGTGGGATCGAACGTCATCTCTACAGAAAATAAAAACGAAGTCATTAGCACGATCAATATACAGAGGTCGGTTATAGAAAACGAAAGGAAAATATCCTACCCTCGACGCCTTTCACATGTGCGAGGTTGAGGACGTCATCCCCGAGGATGTCGTCAAGATCATATACAAGAGGCTCGAGATTTTCTAACATCTGCCTATCTCTCTCCAATGACAGAAAATAGGCCTGACCCTCACCAAAACCTAGCAGTGTCAAGCAAAACCCATCGGACGACGAGAACACACCTCGTTGCCTTTGTTTCAGGAACCAGAAGACTATGATCGTGCTCATTCAAAATCCTCAAGCTCGAAAAATCAATAGGTACGATTTTTGGTAGCATTAGTGCCTATCAGTAAAAATCTCCAAATGATTTGTGCACAAGGTTCAGTTGCAAAATTTTTGGAGCAGGAAAATTTCCCTTTTCTAATTTTTCTTCCAATTATACTCATACAGAATTTTGTAGTCTAAGGTTATGCTCGGACTAAGATGACTGATGAAGAGCTGAGAAACAAGATATACAAAACCTTAACTTGTAGAATTAATATAAGACATGGATTTCTCGGTCTCCTTTTTCAATGCCTAGCATGTTGGCTGACCCTAGGAACCTAATAGGCTAGGTGGGTGTCTAATCTGCGTAGAAGCTCCTGGACTGTCACTTAATCCTACTTGTATATGGAACTTTTATTCACAATTTTGGTTGTTTTTATAAAATTCTCAGAGAGGTGGGGTGTGTCTTTCCTTGAGTACATAATTTGAGTGGATGAATTAAATAGTTACTCACAACTTAAACCAACACTTTTTTCATTTGATTAGCTTTCCCCATCTCTCTTTGGTCACAATTGATGCAATCAATGAATCTTAGAAATTTGTACACTGGAGGTTTGTTTTACATTCATTTGAAAGCATAAAAGTGTATATATTATATATATATATATATTCCCTCATTCCGTTTCGCCAATAATGTAACATTCCGATCATGTGAACTTCAGGATTCACATTTCCATGCACAATGAAAAAATTAGTTCCAATAATACGAGGACCAACTGAAAAGGTTCCTCCATATTACCTAATTTTATTGACTTGTTAACTTACTGATTTCTTCTTTAATTGTTTAACTCATATCAACATTAAAAACGCTAATATTGCGTTTAAAATAATACATAGTATATTTAGCCTCTATTTGGTAGTAATTTTTCATCCAAAAAAATTAATTTTTGGATCGTTATTTTACTATTTCAATCGTCATTTTTTATTTCTTCACTCACAAATAGGTCTCACTTTTCTTTTTAAAGGTCAAAAAATTAATTCTCATAATCACCATCCTTAAATATAACATTATTTTCAATTCATTTCTTAAAATCTATTATTCTTTTACTAAAATGGTAATTTGAATTTATAATTTTTTTTGTTTTCTAAGTTCATCTAAATTTATAGTTGATTATTGAGCAGGGGTAATAATATCCCTGTTCTCGCCTCATCAGGATTTCTGAAACACAGGGACAAAGACAAGAGAGGATTAAAATATCCTCATTTACTTATTTATTCTTTTTTAATTTAATTCTTTTTATTTTCAAATGCAATTAAATATTAAGAATTAAAATAAAATAAATAAACAAAAGTCCGGACTAGTTCAAGGCAGAGTTCCCCCGTGGGATTGGGAATCAGATTCTAATTGTTGCTGGAAAAAAATGTTCAGACTTAAATTAGTAATAGAAAGGTAGGTTACCCACCATGTTAATTGAGTACATCGACAGAGATGTAATCAATGTTCATTGGCCTCATCCTAAATAAGATCACTTAAAATTTAGAGTTAGTTATAGAATATAGATTCATATTAATTAAGAAGCGTGACTCCATATGATAAGGGACATAAACCTTAATCCAACATATAAAACGTCTTTAAAATTACATCGAAAATTTCTCACGATGAAAATAAATGACAGTACTAGAAATATAGTCATCAAACATTTCATTTGTTCCACCTGCTTAACGACGTCTAATACAGTGCAGTTTAACGTACCAAACATTTCATGACTAGGTTACTAATGCGTTTTTACAAATTTAACAAAACCTAAATCCTAAAGAGTACTAGACAAAACCTAAATCCTAAGAGTACTAGAAACATCCCTTGATTGAGATTCAAGAGAGGATACATTGCTCTTCACTTCTTAGATTTCTTGTTCCCGTCTTCATGCTGAAAGTCAAGCAAAACAGTGCTCTTACATTTGGGGCATTTTGGATCCTCCTTGAATAGCATGACGTACATGAGACATTGAGGACACCCAACCAGCATCATGGAAGTGGCCTCAGGGCTGCTCAAGTAAGTGTCGTCCGGGCTGCCTTCCTGGGACATGCATGAACTTCTAGGCGATATCTCGATAGATGAAACAGATCTGTTGGGGGATTGAACTTGTAGACTTGCCCTTGGTGGGGATAAATTCAGTTTCAACTCAAGTTTCGGACTCTCAGCATTGTTATTCATTTTCTTGAATGACCTGAAAGCTACGCAACAAATCACGTTTAATATGCTCGACTAGACATGATTAATAATGAAAAATTATCCACTAACACGCCAATAAGTACTTCATATAATGTATGTATAACAGGCCAGAGCATACTGGGCTAAGCTTAAAAAAGTTTAGATGTAAAAGTATGTTACTCATAAATAAGTTTGAAAATAAGCAAGTTACTTATTTTTAACAGCCAGGTAACAAAGAAGTAACTTATCAATGGAATAGTAAATTAAATAAGAAAAGAAGGGGAAAAAAATGAAGTGATAAAGAACACAAGATTACCTTATGTAGGCAACTTCTTCAACCAAAACTTGAAATTTTGAGGCCAAGTCTTCGAATTGTGGCTTCGAATTGTTTGCTTTTGCTTCAGTGCCTTCAAGAACAATATATATATAGCTACAAATTGGAAAGATAAAAGCACTGAAATTTAATTCAGAATTGATTACTCATTATAAAAAGTCAGAGGTATAAACTAAACTGAATTGGACTGTAGTAAAGGAGAGGGCAGAAAGTGTAAAAATCCCTAGAAATTTGTTGGCAAGATGAATTAAAGCCAGTAAATATTTGCAACTAAAGTTTGGTAATAGCTTCATTCATTGCAGAAGAAAGTTCAGGTATGTATAATATATGTAATGAGAGCAATTAAGATCATCATTTATGGCCTAACTGCTATCAGGTTGGACATTAAAACAAAGCCTTTTTTAAAATCTTGCAACATTCATTATTTAGGAGTACATCTGTTTTACCCGGCATGTTGGGTGGGCAGGACGAATGGACGATGAGCAAATTTTTAACTTATTTTTCTTGTTCAGCACTGTGCACCAAACATGACGTTTATAGAGCATGCTTGGTGGACAATACTAGTGTAATAATCAGGGTCTTTACACTACAAGCACTTTTAACGAGTGAGAGTAAAGAGTTCTCACTTGTCGTGAAAGAAAACTTTTTTCTCATCTTGCTTGCCATGTTACAACTTTTTCGACCCAGTAACAGCAAAAAACAGATTCAACATTGATTTTACTTGAAAACACAAACTACCGATACTTCTAGCTGGAGCAAATAAATGTGGCTTAAAGAAAGACCTAAACAAAAATAATAAATCAGAAAATGAATAGCTACCGTACAATGGTAGTTACCAGTCAGGTGACACATCAATATCTTAATGTACATTGTACAATCTTCTGATTCTTTATCAATGAAATTCTATACTGTTTACAATTGTCTATGTTTTGGGGACACTTACCACAACCAACCTTATTAATGTATGACCAGAAATCTTTCTAAAATTGAGCTTAGTATTTTTATATCTAGCAACAACCCTGCAGCTGAAAATAAAGGACGATATATTTATTTGGTATATAGCATTCTACCAGTATTTATTTGTAAGATAAAATCTAACCTCTCCCCTCAACCCCCGGGCCCCAAGGCATGTTCGTGGTGTCAATAGGCTAGGCCGAGATAGTTGTGGAGATGAATGGAATGGCCCACTTACCATCTAGCAAGCCTAGTTAGCTTCATATCTCTATGTGGAAAGGGAAATGCTATGTGTAAACCTTATGGTGTACACAATGCATTACACCCCTCACATAGAAAGGGGTTCACAAATATTTTATTGTATATGGACCTCACTCCATGTGAAGGGGTGTAATGCTATGTGTACACCATTGTGTACACATAACATTTTCCATGTGGAAAGTACACCAATGCAGATTTTGAAAAATCATAGTATGAAGTTTATTTTTTCATAAGTCACGTCTCTCACTACAACCACATACCCTAATTATTTTCCAATTTCCATTCTCTTTCTACATTTCTCCATATCTATGTTTCTCTTTACCACCACACACCACCACCAAATAAGCTATCTGTGTGGTGCTCAGCCGCACACAACGCTGTCGCCTATCGGCACAGTGCTCACATAGTGCCGCGCGATGCTGCTGCCCCTATGTCGGCAGTGTAAGTATTATGCTTTAGGTCCAATCAACTTTGGACATAAATACTTTTGATATATAATTAATGTAATTTAATGGCAGATCTATTATTTAATTAATAGACAATTAAATAAATAATAGAGTCCGTAAATTCAAATCTTCGTAATTTGTTAATCACAAGGAGTTGTGATTGTGAGATACAAATTACATCTGATTGAATATTAAATCGTCTGTGGTCGTAAGTAATAACAAGATACGAATATCGTTATTACGAATAGACCATCACGTGTAGCATTTCTTACTTATGAAGTAAGTAGTTGATCTCACAAACTAAAGTGTGGTGACACTTAAATGAACACGTGGATGTTTTGTTATAGAACAAAACATTGGAGACCCGCCAAGAGATTCCACGTGGATAACTATCTGAGTGTCAGTGGTTAATCTCTAACGTTCGATAGTGGGATTGGTCCTTTTGACTTGAAGTCGTCATAGTACCTTATATGAGGACGGTCATGCTTTAATGGTGTTGGATGTTGCTCTGCCAAAAGCTATTAATACAGTATCGTTCGGGTATGTCAATAATCATATGAAGGTTGTGAACGACCAATAGATGATTCGTCACTCTTAGATAGTAAGAGATTATGATCTGCGTTTCATTCAATTAAGTCGATAACGAAATTCTTGGCCAAAGTGTACTCATAAGTTGAAAATGAGTTTTCGACTTATATTGACTTAATAGTGGAGTGAAAGATATGATCGATAATCGAAATTGACACACTTCCATATCTCGTAATTGATCGGATTATATTGACGAAGGGATTATAGTTTTACGGTGAACGAACGATTTTAGTTTTGTCATACCACATGACATTTCATGTCACATGTATTGCCCTGACATATTGATAGATGTCAATCTGGGACGGCGAGTGTGAACTGATGATAAATTAAAAGGGTGTTTTAATTTATCAATTCTGATTAGATCAAAATAATATTTCACGTCGTTAGCCATCGTGATCGGGAACCTGATGGGTCGTACACAAAAGAGAATTGGAAGATTGCAATTTGTCAATTAATTAATTTAACAATCGTTGGATAAATTAATTAATTGGTTTGGTTATTTATAGGCTTGAATTAATTAATTGGATTAATTAATTCACGGATCGGATTTAATTACTGGGATTAATTAAATATTGGACCAGACCGGACCACGCCCGTTTGGATTTATATAAATACATGGCTAGGGTTTTCAATCCAGGTGATTTTTCACAATTATTCTTGCTAGCTCAAGAGGAGAAAACCCTGGTAGCTACAATTTTGTTATCTGTATGGATCACCGTTGGAGGCTGGATAATTGGACAACTTTGGGTGGCGAATCAAGATTGTTGGAATGAAAAGAATAGCAAAAAAGTTTGCAAATCTGAAAAAGGTACAATCTTATCACAATTTCTATCTAAACACAAAGGCGATTCTTGGTGAGAATCGAAATCTGTTTTAATTTTTCGCTATGCATGTTAAGTAGATTCTCAACAGGTAGCTCACTACTCCTCGCCATAGGTGGCGATCTAGATCAGCATCGCTTGACACCATTGTAGCCAGAGGTGACTACTGCCACACTAAACAGTGGCTCACACAGCACCACGCGATGCCACTATCCATGTGCTAGCAGCTCATGAAAGGTGGCACTCGGAGATTGATGTCGCTCGATGCCATTATAGGCGGTGGTAACTATTACCACTCCCAACAGTTGCTTCTTCCATGCCTCTACTCTTCACTTTTTTGATGTCTCCACTTCAATGCGATGGCATCCACTCCTTGACGTCGTTGTAGTTGATCATCAATAGCAACTTCTCCAACTTGTCGGTAGCAGTGGGGATTTTGTAGTTGAAAATTGTGGTTTGTTGGTGGTCGTGGTGTGATTTTGAAGTTGAAAATAGAAGTTTGTTGGAGACAGTGATGGTGGTGATAAAGTGGCATTGCCACTGCACCCAGTTCACAATCGGAAGTAAAATGGAGTGAAACGGTCGGTGGTGGCGGGTTGCTAAAGTTGTGTCTGTGTCTGTGTTGTTGGCGGTGGGGCTATTAGGCTATGACAGTGGTGATGGTCATAGTTATATGTAGTTGTAGTGGTATGTGACCAACTATTTGGTTATTTGTGATCTAAAAATTCTAATAATATGTGATTAAAAAATAATTTGTGATCAACTAGTTTGAAAACTTGTGATCGACGAATAAACTGTGACTGATTACGCCCTAAGTATAACGCGGTGGTTGTATTATAGCTTTGGGGTGTCGTATTCACAGAGAGGTGGAAAATAAATCAAAGAATCAAAAGCTAAGGTTTTGTTGTGATTTTATGTAAATGTAACGTGTCAATTGAAATAGAATTCAAATAACAATGTAAATCAATGTATGAAGCAATGAAGCGCCGAAATTTCTTCGATTAGATCGGATCAATCAACGTCAATTTTGCATGAAGATACTCAATTAAAGGTTTTTTTTATGCTAACACTTTAATTGGAAAATCTACACATTCAAACCCTTCTTTAATTCCTTAAGAGTTCCAAATCTAGATTTCTTACACAACATAATTCCACAATTGTTTTTTGAAATTAGATCCAAAATCGATCATATACCTTAAGCATATGATAGTAAAAGATCACACCAACAAACGGTTTGAAATTGAAAATCAATAAATACTTCGATCCTTCGATGAAAAAACTTGATTGAATTCATGAAAATCTAATATGAATTAACCCAATCTCAAACATACCCAACAAACATGAGAAATCTAATTCTAGAATTTTTAACAATGAAAAAATAAATAAATTACATGCAAGAAAGAACGTTGAAATAATTGATACCAATCGAGTTCCTCCCTTGCTTCACCAAGGATTTCTAGCCTTCCATGTAGTTTCTTCACCCAAGATGAGAGAAAATTGATGTGGAGAGGAAGAATCCCGTTCTGGGTCGAGATTATGGCTTAAAAATGTGTGTCAAACAAGTTTCCATAAGTGTCCGTGTCAAAATAGGAATCCGGGATTTCGCCCTCGAAAAATACCCATGCGACCGCATGTTTCAACCAAAATGGCCCCAGAGGTTCTTGGAAGGCAGACATGCGACCGCAGGGCTTTATAATCATGCGACCGCATAGTTGTCACCATTTTCTCCGTCAGATAGTTTTTAGTATTTTGGTCATAACTTTCTCTCTCGATATTTGATTGAGGTGATTCAAGTTGCGTTGAAAAGATAACTTAAAGGGCTATAACTTTGATTCAGACATCATCTTCTAGATCGATCTTTTTCCATGTTAAAAATAGGTCCCGATATAAGGCTGAAAACCGATGCGTAACTTTTTCAATTGGGAATTGATTTGTGAAGATGTTTTGGTCATATTTCACTTCTTTTGACTTCAAACTACACCCAATTGACTCCTAGATTTCTTGAATCATCATTCCATAGCCCGTCTCATTATGGATTATTTGTAACTTAGTCCCTGAACTTTCACTTTCTTCCATTTTAGTCCTTTTTCGCTCTTTTTTTTTCTAAATTTCAAATTTTCTATCAAAAGGCTACCTAAATCAAAGCATAAGTATAATGAGTGCATTTTCGTATCAAATAGTAACACGAATG